AGTAAGTTATGAAAGATTTGTCATTTGAGTTAAATTTAGCAGCAATAAACATGAATACCTAGGAACAGCTCACAGCAGTATTTCTTTGATAATGGTATTTAACCATTCCTAAAATATGTCCCCTTTTACATCTTTATTTTCATTGGTGCTGTCAATTCATAAACATCATGTTCTTGCTTGTTTTCTTACAGCATCAGAGTGTAACTGAGATGTATGAAATGGAAGTGCTTGAATTCAATAGTCTTTTTCCCTTCTCACTTTCCTGCTTTCCTACTTGTACAGGTTATTGCCTTGACAGTTGGAAACAATCCCACAATCACCAATCCTTTTCCAGCCGTTGAACCTGCTGTTGTGAAGTTTATCTGTGCTGTCCCTTCACGACTCACTTTGACTCCTGTTTATTCAAGTCCTCAGATTGATCTCTCATGTCCTTTGCTGCAACAAAACAAGCAGGTGGTAAGTCTGAGAAAGCTGTGACAGGACAACAATGTTCTAAATAACTAAGGGTTGGTGTTTGGGCTATCACACAGAAAATACCACAAAACAGATGATGCACATTAGACTTTTGATCTGTGTCTTCTGCGTAATAATAACTTCCTTAATTAACTCTGAAGACTACTCAGACTGTGTGTGTCTTTTGTTTTCATTTGTTTGTCAATGAGTCACATTAAAACAAAAAAGGCTCAACAAAAAAACTCTATAACTTGAAGTCCAGCTAAACAACTGCATTGATGGCTCACATTAATTGATACTTCTCACAAAATATCTCTTTGTAAAAATCAAATGGAACTCAAATATAACTTTAATGATAAAAGATACTTTTGCATCTGTTCAGTTAAGATTACTCATTCCTTTTTCAGGTGCCTGTTTCAAATTATCGCAATCCAGTATTGGACTTGACTGCGTATGACCAACAGGGCAGTAAATTTGATAATTTCAGTTCTCTTAGCATTATCTGGGAATCAACAAAAATGTCTCTAGCTAATATAGAGCCAGATATGTTAATGGAGCTCACTCTGAAGGAAGATGCCGGCGGTCAAAAGAAAATGCATGGTACGAATCAGTTTAAATTAGTATTTTGTTGTCTGAAGAAGACGTGGATTAATCCTGTTATAAAATTTCTGAATTTGTCTAAAAAACAGCAAAAAACGACAATTACTGTAAGATGTGAAATACTGCAGCTTGTATCCAGCACACATTAGAAATAAATTGTTTACAATGCTCAATATTTGCAGTGTCTATCTCATCTTTTTCTTCCCCATAATTAGATTCATTTGACTTTTTCTTTTGTTTCAGGTTTGCAAACTGTCTTGGTTCATCATGTATCTGGAACCACTGTGATCTCCGCAACTGCAACAGGATACCAGCAATCTCATCTCAAAGCAGCTAAAGTGAAAGCACCGGTACTCTGAACTTGGGAGGCTTTTTGTCTGTGTTTCCCCATGTTCCTTAGTCTATAGTGTTCATATACGTGTGTGTATGTGTGTAGATGTGGGGTTTTTTTTTCCCCTCAGTGATGCATGCATGATGCATAATCTCCAAACAAGGCTATTCATTAGCTGCTTTGGATTCATACCACTGCATTTTTATAATCATGGGTGTTTCTGCTTTTTTTTTTCTTTCTTTTTTTCTTAGCTTTCACTATTCACATCACACACATCCATTCTTCTCTATTTTCTCTCTCTCTCTCTCTTTTTTTTTTTATTTGTACTGTCTGTGCAAAGGGATTGCAAAGAAATGTTTCACTTCATTTTGTTTTGATTTAGGCTTCTTTAATAATTTGGTGAAGCTTTGCTGCTTGTTCCTCAGTAAAGCGACCATGTGCTTTGTGCAGCTGTCATTGGGGAAAGCTAATGTATTTATGATTTCCACTGCAAAAAACAGTAGAGATGTTCTGCATGAGCAAAGCAAAGGCTGACTGATATCATCAGACCATATGTCAAAACCTATGTCTGATTTATGCTCTTGTACTTGAACTTCTCTTCTGTCTTAAGAGCAAAACTTCAAGCTAGATCTAGCTGTAGATGCCACCTTTGTTGTTTGTTTAAATAGGGTGATTTGCCTTCTGTTTACAAATATATTAAAGGCAGTCTGCTGGACGTGGCTTTCAAATTTATCCATACTTTTTTCTTAGAAACAAAAGCTCAAATAAAAATCTAATTGATATCTTGATGGTTGTTCCCGGTTTAAGTGGAGCATCCTATTATGCCATTAGGAAAACATGACGTCCTTTCTACATAAAGGAAATAATTTTACTAATTGGGTAAAATGGGAACATAATACTAACTTCCTCTTAAAAGCACTTTCCCTATTTAAGTTAATGTTATTAGGAGTAAGCAGTTAGGCTTACATCTGGTCTAGTGCTTATGTGTAAGGGAGAACAACTTTTGGTGGCCTGTTAGGAGGAACTGTAAAAAGATGATCTTAAAGTGGGAGGAAAATATTTGTTTTCAATGCTTTGTCATTCTGCAAGAACTTATAACATGTATCTGAGCTAGTAGACTACCTATATATGCTATACTCGGTTAGTTAATCCTGGCAAATCCTTAATGCATAGGCCTTTGTTCTTTGGCTGGGACATAACACGGATTGTGGCAGCCTGTCCTCTGTGTAACCGTGCATCTAGAAATGACAGAGCCATTAAGTCAGTTACCTGATTTTTGTCAGTGTTCTGTTACCCTAAGCTTTTCTGCAGGCACTGGCACTTTTCTCATCTGCTTTACCTGTGCTTGCCTGCATATACAGAAGACTTGCACTGTTTTCTGGCTTGAGATGCCTGATGTTACCGCTGGTAAATAGAATTGTTTCTTTCAGTATGAACCTCTTCTACCTGTGTCTGCCACTATTGAGCTGATGCTAGTGGAAGATGTGAAAGTGAGCCCTACCGATGTCTCCATTTACAACCATCCCGAGATCCAGGTAATTGCTGTGCTGCTTATTTCACTGGGAGAGGATGATGTCACGAGTTATGGTATGGGTGAAGAGATTCCAGTTTTAGCAACATCCTAGAAAGATACAATCATATTTTGTTTGCTTTTTCAGGCAGAGCTGTTCATCAGAGAAGGTTCTGGATATTTTTTCATTAACACAAGTGTTGCAAATATTGTAAGAGTGGCTCATGAAGACACTCAAGGTATAGCTCTGGTGAGTGAAATAATTTGTTTTTCTGTGTCTTTTTAGTGATTTAAATACATGATATTTTTGTTGTGTGTCCCTGTTGGTATTGGAAGGAATAAATTTTCATGAACTCAGGCTCATGCTTCCACAGTGTGCAGCTTCTAGCCTGTAGTGAAGAGATTCCAGGCATTCAACAGAGCTACAGATCTCCTAGACAACTAATAAAGCCTATTTGATGCTTAGATTAAGATATTGATTTTATTCTTTCATATTTACCCTATTTATTTTTTTTATTGATCTGGTGGTAGAGGTGTGAGGAAGTATATATTTTATGTTTTGATTTTTAGTGTCTCACATTTTTATGTAATCTGAGAAGAAAGCATAATTAACTACAGTGATATATTACAATGATCTAATTGTATACTTCAGAGCAGAAGGAAGACTTGGATAAGAAATGAACTAAAATATATGCTCAGACAATTATCTTTTATCACAGCAATAAAGCTAAATGCATGATAGACATATGCTGTGTTTCAGCACACTGACAGTCTACATCTTCTTTCAAAACAGTTGGTCCATTTAAGCTATCTTTGCTGTTCTGTAAGCATCTAAGATAAAGCTTCTGTTTCAGTACTATTGCAGCATAAAAAAATAGGTTCAGTCCTAACAAGAAATGTGTATTATGAGTCCCTTATCAGGAGTTCTTGTTGACCTACATACTTGTATGAAGTACTGTATATGTTTCTCATTACATCTGCAGTTCTAGCGAATTGAAATTGATTTAAAAGATAGCATGTGTATTTGGCAGTTGTCAGTAAATAATTAAATGCATTTTCTATCTTAATGCCTGATATGAGGGTAGGAGCCAGATTTCTGGGAGAATCCAGCCTGACACACAATTAAAAAACAAACAAAAGCACCTTAATTTTCTTGCCAATGCTGCATGATAATTAAAAGTAATAAATTGAGATATGTCTATGTGGAAGTGAGATTAGCATCTGTAAATCATAGTTGTATACACTTACCTGTAAACTTTGTCTTAATTAAGTGACAAATTCTTGTGTATTTTGTTGATTCAGAGATGCTGGGGATTTTTCTCCCAATACATAGGTGGCATCTGCGCATTTAGCAGTTATCTGACACTACCATTTGAGTTCTTTTGTGTCATACAGTTTCACAAGCTACCGAAGTCGAATACCAGAGCAGGGTCCTGGGTAACACACTGCAAACACCATTAGATTTATGTAATTCATTATCCTTGTTTCACTGAAAGACATGCTGCTATGCACAAAAGCTTTGGTGGGAGTTAGTGGTATTGCGTTTAGAAACAGGGTCATATTTTCTGTTACAAATGCTATTTACTGTTACCAAAATGTACAGCTATCGCCCTGCAACATCCATTATCAATCAGTTACTGGTCATTTTCCAATGCATGTGGCTGGAGAGGCAATACATGAATCTCGGGTACCTTTGCTCATCACACCCAAGCTTCATGCTGGGGTCTCTAGTGTGGTGCTGATGCAGCAGCTCCAAGTTCTGGCAGTCGTTTCACTCCAAACTGAGCAGCAACATGACTGAGCTCCTCGGCACTGGCCAGCAAAAGAGGAATCGGTTTCCGCAGGGAGCCTGGAATCTTTGCTGCGGGTCAGCACTGGTGCAATCTTTGAATTCCTCCTACTTCCTGCTATGGCAGGATATTTGCCACCAGTATTTCATCCCAGTACTGAAGAGAAGTAACTGTTAGAGTTGAGTTCCTCTCCCTGTTAAGTGTGGGTTTGTTTGGTTTTTGTTTTTGTTTTTGTAACTTTTTTTTTCTTCCTCCCAACTTCCCTCTGCCCATAATTGAAACTGTGATTAAACTAGAGCTGTGCTTGACTTCATTTAAGGGCCGGGGTATGAGATGCAGTCTACAGCCATCAAAAATAAAATTCTGTGCTTGCATTGTTGGAATCACTAGGCACAAATTGAAAATGACTTAAGCTATTTTGAAGAATTATATTTTCACATATACAGTTAAGTTTATACTTCACAAATAAATTAGTAGCTACTTAATGGTGATAAAGGTGGGGGTGTTCTTCCATCTCTCAAAGTATGGAAAGAAGTGTTGGTAAAAGATGTTGTTTCTCTCTGGCTGTAGGAAGTGAAGGCTGGTGATATTCAGAGACTGAGTCAGACACAGAGGTGGGGAGTGGGGAGGAATAAGTGGGCTTATTTTTGAACATTGAACACATTGTACATTTTGAACATTTGAACATTGGTGCCTACAGTTTTTCAATCCCGTCTTCCTCATGGGTGTAGCCTTGTTTTAGCTGATAAACACCTGGTAGTTCCAGAATAGAGCAGTGAACTCTAAGCAGTGTAGCAGTGCAAAGAAGACAGGTCTTGTGAGGCACCAAATGGGGTTTAACTACCTGCCAGATTTAAGAAAGAAAAGAAAAAAAAAAAAAACCTTTCTTTATATGTTGAAAAAGACTCTTCAAAAAAAGTATTTAAAAGTATGTCATTACTATTGTGTGCTATGCTTGAGTTAAATAGCAGTATCATCTACAAATTTTCTTTCTGTTCAAGTCATCAGAATGGTCTGTGTGGGGAAAAAATAGCGAACTTGAGTTTTAAATACCAGAATGCTTTGCTAGGTATCTGTGGAACCGTGTTGTGGGCACAATAGGAAACTGTTCTGAGAAACTGAATCCAAGGTCTTGTGCAATAATTCCCAACAGCTTACTGGAATTCCTATGGATACTTTCTGTATCTGCTGCCTGACTTTTGGCTCACCAGTTTATCTGCATGCGAGTCGTGGTGTGAGCGGAGAAGGAATAGTGGGAATTACATGGAAATGCACCCTAGACGAGGGTGTGGAGTTGTAATAGGAGATGAGAACGGAGGATGTGGCTGGTTAAAAGCACTGTAAAACTATGAATCCTTCAGGAAACAATACCAGCTTTAGAGGCAAAGTCTCTGTCCCTGTTTTTTCTCATTGTTTTGTTTTTTACTGCACTGAGAAAAGCTCATTGCTGCAAATGATTTGATGTTTGTTTTCATCCTTCTCATGGCAAAAGGAGAATAGTAGGATGCCAGACTGCTTCCAGATTAAGATCTGTTAATTCAATTGCTGTCCAGAGGCCATTTACACTAAATGAATGAAAAGAATTTACACTAGCTCAATTGTATGATATTGTTTAACTGTATTTTACAGCTTTACTTGTGCATTAGTGGAACAATCATCTGTGTCTGAGGCTTGGAGACTCCTGCATCCAAACATTTCTGCCCTAAAAGGGAAATAAGCATGGATGATAAGCAAATGAAAGTGAAAAATACTCTAACAAAAATTTCTTCTGGCATTTAGGTGCATCCTTTGCTTCCAGGATCAGTGACCGTGATGATTCATGACTTGTGTTTGGCTTTCCCTGCACCAGCGAAAGCTGAAATTTATGTATCCGATATACAGGAGGTGTACATCCGAGTTGTTGACAAGGTTGGTTGTTCTTGAATCAATGCTATTAGCTGACCCAGACTGCTCTGATTCCTTGTGTTGCTCATGAATGTAAAGCCGAGAAACATAGGACCTAACATTGTATAATGCTCAGCACTCTCCATTACTGCAGTGATCTTGAAAAAATTGTTTGGTTTCCCTCTCCCAAACTTCCCTTTTCAGGCTTTAGGCACTTCAGAGTGACTATCAGTCTCTTGCTCTGTGTTCAGTGTGGCAGGGATCTGAATGTTCACCTTTACACAGTAACTTACTCTAGCTAGTCTGTAATTCGTGTGTGCACACTAATTTGCATTTCCTGTTGTTTAAGGGACATAAGAGTGATTCTTTTTGGAGCAAACATTGGAAAGTGACCTCTGGAAAGCCCCTTTCCATATGCCTGCTTTAAAAGCAAAAAGGAAGTCCACCTCATTTTACTTGCAAATTTGAGTGCATTCTATACAAAGTAAATGTTGATACTTGTGGATGTTCTGTCTCCTGAAACTTCTGAATTATTTAATTTGACACTAACCTTAGCTAGCAGGGGTTATTCTTTAAAATCAGTGCTAATCTTACCTTAGGACCTCATCTTTAATACACTCTTACAATTGTAGTACAAAAGAATTTATACTGATAAATAACAAGTATTTTAATAGTTTAAGTGAAAAATCATTATATGTGACTATATTTTTCAGGTGGAGATTGGAAAAACAGTTAAAGCTTCCGTCCGAGTTGTGGATGATGCTAAGAAACCTTTTCTGGTGAAATACTTTGCTGTCATGGATCTAAAACTAAGGGCAGCTTCTCAGATTGTTTCGCTTGTGTAAGTTAATGGATTTTTTTCATTAATCTATAAATATGCGTAAAAATAATCTTGTAAATAATCTTGTTATCAAATTCATTTTGTCTGTTACTTAACCTTTTAAAAACAGGTAGACTATATCACTCTAGCTCTTTATTTTCCTAGCTTTAAACACAATGATTAAAATCACAGAAAAAGAAAGGATTTTCTTTGAATTGTCAGCTTTTAGACTTGAAATCATAAATAATAATTAATTTATTTTGTATGGCGAAGGGTGTGTTTGTGTGTTTTTTGCTTATATATTATGCAGTACCACTGTATTTATACTGACCAGTTAAATAGTGTCAGGGCATGTACTCGAAGCTTGGCCCACCATTGCTCATACCAGGTAAATTTTGGGGGCTCTCTGTGAGAAAGATGTCCCTACCAGACAGACTCTTCTCTTCAGTGTTTCATTTCAAGAAGAGATACAGGCTGCAAGGAGCCATTTTATAATGCTTAATGTTGGACTGTGATGGCCACAATTATTTTAAGATTTAGTCACCTAACAATTGTTGTGATGGAGCTGCTTTGTGTTAAGTTCTTCACGCTCATTACTTTTGTAATTTATTCAATTAACTTTCCCAACTGGATGTACTTATTTGTTACAGCCCACTTGGTGAAGCTCTCGATGACCACACTGCCGCTTTTCTTGTGCATGGAATGGCCATAGGTCAGACTAGTCTTATGGCAACTGTCGCTGACAGAAGAGGACAAAGAATTAACTCTGCTCCACAACAGATTGAAGTAAACAATTTCAGATAAAATATGTCCATAAAGAAAATGTGTGTTATGGTAGCATAGGAATAGTATGGGAATGTTAATTTGCTGTAACGATCCATTTCCTTTTCTGTCCAGAAGTTTACCCAAATGCTAGTCCATTTCAGATTTCATAGTGCTGTGCAACTGCAGGTGGTGAGAACAGTGCCTGCAGGCTCAATTTACTTTAATTAAGCAAATAAAGACTTAACTTTACATTTGTATGTACTGTTGTGTGGCCTAATTGATCTGATTGATATAGCATGAACACGAGTATCCATATTTCCATTTTTAGGTTTTTCCTCCATTCAGACTACTGCCAAGGAAAGTGACCCTGATCATAGGTGCAATGATTCAGGTAAGGGAGCTCCCTTTTTTAATGTAATTCCTTTTTGAAAATAAATGTATACATTTTTATTCTTCAGGAGAAGATATTTAACTTAGCAACATGTTCATACTGTATGCTAATCCCCAAAACAGAACAGTTTCATTCTTGAATTTCTTTCCATTTTAGTGTTTTGTGAAGCCGAAGACACAGTTCTTCCATTGGGAATGCTAGCATTCCATAAATTAGGTGAATAAAATCAGGCAGAGCGGGCTAGTTTAGTTATACAAACTAAAAATAGAAGTACAACAGTTGTGGCAAAGAGAAAACAAAAGTAATTCTCTGCATTATACAAAACATGGGCCCGCTGCAGTCTGCTTTTGTGCTTAGCTTCATGTACCGCCCAGTCCCTCTTCATGGCTGGACCAGCCTGGTAGGGAATTAAGCTCTGGGATGGTCTGAAAGGTGCAGGTGCCCTTTCCTTATGAAGACGTTGTAGTGATGCTGAGCAAAGAAGGCATGCGCTCTGATGTTATCAGAACAAGTATTGGATGGGTAAATCCAGTTGCTTTGTGTGTTATTAATTACAGATCACTTCAGAAGGAGGCCCTCAACCTCAATCCAACATAATTTTCTCCATTAGTGATGAGACGATTGCGTCAGTGAACAGCACTGGACTAATCAGGGGACTGGCAATTGGGAATGGGACAGTGACAGGAGTGGTACAGGCTGTTGATGCAGAGACGGGAAAGCTTGTTGTGGTGTCCCAGGTAAGGTTTTATGATGCTATTTGGAGCAGTAAGAGTCTCCATTAAATTTATTAGGCTTAGTTCAAAAAGGACAAATACTCTTTTCACATCAGCATTTTCATCTTGTGCACTTTGCTGGTTTCCCAAAGGTCATGAAAGACTTGTATTTCTTCCTCCCTGGTCTGGGAATTCATGTATTTGCTGGTACAGGAAATACCTTCAGCATATAGCCAAGCACTGTGTCTTGATGTACCTTACTAAATTTCACTGATAATTCAGAGAAATTTCTCTCAACAGTTTGTTTTCTTTAGACTTGATTAGTAAATCTTCTAGAAAAGCCCATCTAGAGAAGCCCTACTAAAGAGCAGAGCGTTGCCTTTATCTGCATTGCCTTACACTTAACCTTCTATGTCAGTGGATGTTAGAAGGTGACTAGTGCCCAAGAAATCCACAGTCTCCTATGTTACAGGTGAGCTGTGGAGAGTATTATTATTTTGTGCTGTTGTCTGCACTCACCTAGAAAGTTCAAGCAGTGAATCCCTGAAATTCACCTCAGTCTGTGTCCATACAATTTACTATTAGCGAAGTGTTTGGGAGCTACAGAGCAGACCTGTGGGAAGTGCAAATTATTGAGACTTGTATGAGACTCAGAACAACAGAATCTGGACCAAAGCTCTCAGTTTGAAGTCAAGGAAGAATAATCATTGCACACCAGAGCTATGCTGCTTAAAAGATGGTGATAGGTCAATAAGAAAGATTGAATTAAAAAAGGTGTTAAATCTACCATCTAATGAGGGCTAGGTCTGACCTTCCCTCAGCAGTATACAGCTGAGGGAATATAGAGCAATATGCTTTTCTCATTTATTGCTGTGACTTTATGAAGAAGTTAATTATTTTGTAGTTTAATACTTACAGTCCTACTGAATTTTGCATCTGCAGCTGCATTTCTCTGTGATAAGTCACGTGCGAATCGCATGGTAGAATAGTGATTGGTTAATGACAAAACAGCAAATAGATTCTGAAAGTAAAACAGGGTTTGCATTTAAGAAATTCTTACAATGTCTTCCATTCTTTTAGGACAAAGTGGAAGTTGAAGTAGTACAGCTGACAGCTGTTAGAATTCGTGCACCAATTACACGAATGAAAACTGGTACACAGGTTAGTTGATTTGTAATTACCTTTTATTGTCTTAAAAGTCTGATCTGCAAGTTATGACCTTCTTATCATCCTCTGATGATAAAAGCACCCTAGCTGGCAGGCCTCCCAGTCTGAAGGGTGTCACCAGAGCAGCAGGGATGAATGTGCTTTCAGTGAAGAATCTCTCAGTTGGACATATGGAGGAAAAGCAAAATTGGGACAAGCCTACCTTCTATACCAAACTGATTTTTCAAAAATTCAAGACCTGCTGAAGAAGCATGTTTGTAAGACCAGCAGGGAATCTTTAAATGGAAAAAAGCTTATTATCACTCCATTTTCAGTGGAAGCTTTCTTCCTTTGTTTGTTAAAATCTACAACTTTTTGTTATATCCAGTATAGTTATTACAGAAATTATCTTTCAGTAAATTGTTTTCAGAGCCTATATTTCTCCTATGAATTACTTGTCCTGTTATCTGGAGGCTTCTTCAGATGGCCAGTAATTCTAGCTATAATCTTAGGTGAATGAATGGCATCAGGGAGAGGAGAAAAAAATCCCTGTTTTGTGCCCTTATGTTACATTGTCTGAGGTATGGAGGGGAAATTGTTTGAAGAGTTAAATCAGGGAGCTCATCTAGGAAGAGACATGGAAAATATTATAGCATGTAACAGCTGACATGAATTAATTTGATACTACAAATGGATAAATGGATTATTGAACTATTTTCGTCAAGAAAATTGGCACTTGTTTTTTCATGTGTTTAACAACTGGGAATGAATCAAAACTTTCCCTGTGCTACATGATGCTTATTTGAGTCTTCTGCCTGGTGTACCTTTGCAAAATATACAGTAGCCAAGCGATTTTCTTCATAAGAAGTGCTTCTTACTGGTAGTATAGTCTCTTGATTGATAATCTTTTTCAATTGTCTTACTGAGTAAAAATTAACTATACTTGTGCACATTTAACTAGCTTATGTCTAAGAATTATCTAACAAAGCTGGGTTTTTTTGTTTTTGCAGATGCCAGTTTATGTGATGGGCATCACTAGCAGTCAGACTCCTTTTTCATTTGGCAATGCAATACCAGGATTAACATTTCACTGGTCTGTCACAAAAAGAGATATCTTGGATATCAAGACAAGACACAATGAGGTAAATGATTGATGTTTATACCCCAGGAAAAAAACAATTGCATAATGGAAAATAAGAAAATGTTGCTTCTGCTTACTCTCAGATTCAAAGAACCACTGTTGATGTTGGGTGTGACATTTCTTTCCTATCAATTCTAATTCCTTCCATGAGCAAAATATTAATGATTTTCTCCGGTCTAAGGCTTCTTTTCAACTTCCGGCAAAATATAACTTTGCAATGGATGTTTATGGCCGAGTAAAGGGAAGAACAGGTTTGAAAGTTGTCGTCAAGGTCCTTGATCCTGCAGCTGACCAGTTTTACAACATGGCAAGAGAACTGTCAGATGAAATCCAAATCCAGGTATAGTGTTTTTCTTCGCATGTAATTTTAAGTATCAGCTTCAGAACCAAATTAAAGCCTGTAGGGCAGGAATTTGAAATGCAAAGGCATAATTCTGTCCTTGATCCATTTTGTTGTGCTGCTATTCTTGTTGGTTTTTCCCACTATTCGGAAATCCTCAAGATCTCTAAATATTGGCAAATTTTGCCACTGAATAGCTACACGCTGGTGTTGCATCTGATTGAACAGTCAGTTGTTTGGTATGGACCATTTCTGTTGAGACTGAATGAATTTATTCTCTCCAGGTGAGCTGTTAGAGCTAGTAAAGAACCTTGGTGCTGCAGTTGTCCCTTCATGCTTGATATTTCTTGCATATAGGCCCCATTTTATGTGTCTATATGAGTGTGTGGTTTAGATCAGCAGTTAACTTCTGCAGGAAGTCTCATGATTTACATTATGTTATCTTATAATTTTAATTGGACTTTTTTATGGTTTTGAAGGTGAAATGGAACTAAATTACTTGCTGCACACGGCAGTAAAGTGGCCTTTATTTTCCAGGTCTTTGAAAAACTTCACCTAGTTACTCCAGAAGTAGAAGCAGAGCAGATCTTAATGTCACCCAACTCCTTCATTAAACTTCAGACAAACAGGTTAGTGATAAATTTTTCATATTGTGATTAGTCAGCTGTTTATTGAAAGTGTAAAGCATAATTCTATGCTTAAAATAACTTTTGTTTCAGCCTTTGAAAAGAACATTACAGAACATCTATTCAGTGCACAACTTATCATATGATTAGTAGCACCTTATCCCTATGCTTAGTCTCTCAAATCTTGTGTTGGTCAGATTGTAGCTAGAAAATATGACAGTTGGAACTTCTAGATCCTTATTTTAAAAGATCTGAAAGTTCCAAAGATCTAAAAGTTCCAGTTATTTTAAAAAGGCGTGAATCCTGTAAGAGCAGTAGCCCACTTCCACAGTTTTTTGTAGGGAGTGATTAGAGCTTTATGGAAAACAGAACTTGGTGCTTTTTGCACAGAGGCAGTGACAGAGGCTTTGGAGGTGAAAATGTCCTTTCTAAACGAGATGCTGTTTATTTATAGTCTGTTTTCAAAGGTTAACATTTCAGACCTGTTTGGGGCTTGATGTCTGGTTTTCTAAGCATAAGAATGGGCAGATACCATTAGTAGGATATTTTTTGCCGACAGAGGTCAGATGCATTTGCTTTTTAAGGGAAATGTGAAGTTCAAGTTTCACTGGAACTCAAATGACCACATGACTCCATGTCTGCTTTTGAAAAAGATACATGGAAGCTCCTGTGATGTCTGGTCACTTGCTAATGTTTTTGGTAACTGTCATCTCTCCTGAGAGGTTGCCAGCAATTACTCTGAGAAGCTCATGGTTAAGGTGCTAGAGATGAATTTGTGTGCTTGTCTGCTCAGTACTAGTGCAGCCTCCCGGTATCTGAACTCTGACCCCAAAACAACTTGCCTTATTGCCCAGAAAAGGGGATCTGAAGGCTGGCTTGTGTGCTGCTGGGTGGAAAGGGAGTATCTGCACCGGAACAGGGAATGGGAGAGGGGAGGTGGAGGAGCAGGACGGATTTAGAGTGATTTTAGAACATGTATTACGTGATACTTAAAAATAACTAATGACTCAGAATGCCCACTAATTAGAGTTTATGTATCTGCTCACTTTATTAATATGCAAATACCACAGTGATAGATGCTTCAGAAATTAACCTTGTGTACAAAACTTCTCCGGGAAGTTGATGAGATCTTCTGGGTTGTGTCCCTGACTTTATCTCAAATACCAGCATTGACCCTGACGAGCTAAAATGCCTCTAAATATGGTTTACAGAAAGTGTTTGCAGAAGCTCTGAGCTGTAGTTTTATCCGTGAGCATGAGGATTCCAGTTCACCTCAGTGAATGATGACACTGCAGGGCTGTGAACAGCACCTGGATCTGAATACCTCCTAAACCCAGATAAGGCTTCTTTCAGTGAACTTAAATGTTTTGTAGAAAAACCTGGAAAAAAGCATGCATCAAATAGCACAGTTTCATGGATGTGAATAATATATTGCTGTAAATACGGATATACTTATTTAAGCGGTTCTCCTTTTCTTTTTGAAGGGATAGAGTGGCTTCACTAAGTTACCGTGTCCTGGATGGACCAGATAAAGTTCCTGTTGTGCAAATTGATGAGAGAGGTTTCCTTAACTCTGGGTCCTTGGTAGGATCATCAACAATTGAAGTAATTTCGCAAGAATCATTTGGAATCAACCAGACTGTTATCGTTGCAGTTAAGGTAGTGTTTTCTCTTTTTCTTTGCTGAAGTCATAACTGATGTAATTTTATGCGTTAGAAGTATATCTTTATTACTGCATCAATCAGAGATGCTAACTGCACATTTTAGACTTCAGTTCTGAAGAATGTGAAGTATAGGCTTTGTATCAAAAGCCAAGGTCTGATATTAAGTTTAGTACACAAGTTAGAGAGAAATAAAGGTTAAGTCTTAGCGGATTCTTAAATGTGGTACGTCTTGCAAAAAGGCCTTTGTGTGCATGCGGATTTAAAAGCTTAAAGTTGTTCTAAAAATCTCTTAGAAGACTGATAATTACAGAAATTCAAATTAAAATATATATTGCTGTCATAACCTCTGCATTTTGCAGCGAGTGAAAAAGGTAAACATTTAGATTAATGAGTATAAATACAGCATTGGTTATGAGGCACATAGGGTTTTTTCAAGATATCAGGGATGCAACTGTAAAACACAAATTTTATTTTCTTGCTGCTGTTTCTCAACGGTTCTGCTTTTACAGATTAGTAGAATTTCTGTGTGAGAAGACCTAGCTTATCAGCTATAATAACTTAGCTGCTCTTCCCCGTACTTGGTGAGTGGACAAGAGGTGTCTCCAGACTGTCGTGTCAGCCGAAGCTGCACTGTACTTCCTTGAAGCAACCGCATTTCAAGGATGCAGCGAGAGTCAGCAATGGAAACTTATATTCAGGCTAATGAACCGTCTTCCCAAAACACTGGTATTGAGTTGAATGCCCTTATGCTCAGCATAATGCATCTTAATGGCTGGGCATTTAGCATGCTGAAGGAGTACATGTCCTTCATTTCTGTTTGGAATGCTCTTCTCAAGTACTTTCTATGTCCTCCAGTATGGGCTTTGAGATGCTGACCATACCATCTCTCTTATCCTTTTTACTTTGCTAGCATCATTCAGGTATCTTCCAGCTGATGGAGAAAGATATTTAATTAAAACATCTGTAAGGCTTGTGTTGTTAATAATCTTAATCACTGGGAAGTGTCTCTTCTCCCCCGCCATCTCTCTCCAACCTCTGGTGTTCAGCTCTGTGTTTAGGACAGCAGGTAGATTAATCCTCCTGGGAGGAGAATGAGAGGGGATGGAGGTTTCTGGTCGCAGTCCTGCTGTTAGGTGAGGTCCAGTAGATTCCTGCCGCTCTGTTAAAGGTGACCTTGTTTCTTCTCTTCGCTGCTGGATCCAGGCAGTGAAAGGCAACTGATGACTCAGAGTTGGCTCAAGTGACAGTTATTCAGCATATAGTGGTACTGAAGCTCCCCCTTTGTGTTTTCTCTCCCTACACTATTTGCATATCATGGAACTATGGAGTTTCTAGGCTACAGTTTTAAACCTGGGAGCTGTTTGTAGTAGGAAACATCTCTCTTGTTCAGCATCTTGTACAACCATTTTGTTTTCTTAGGCTTCTTAGGACTGCACAACTTGTATGGAAATAACATGTTTAACCTCATTGTCCTGTGATGTAACAGACTGATGCATTTTATGGATGAACTGAGACATGGGGGTTTTCAATGACTTCTAGTCAAGGTCATGGAGAAAAACTTGTGACAGAAGAGGGCACGAGCTCTGTGCCGTTCCAGGACAGGCTCTCACCTTTGCACTGTCCTTTCTTTCCTAAGCTCTTGTTTCATCTACTTACAACTGTACACAATTAAGAAACAAAGTGCTGCAGCAGCATCACTTAACACTTAGACCTTCAGCTTGCTCAAAAAAGGCTATCTTGTATAAGCAAGGAGGACAGTGGAAGTAAGGAGTGACTGTGCGCCAGAGCTTAGCATGGAAGCAAGATAAGCACGTGTCCTTACTGGCTGTAATCTGCTGAAATATGTATATTTTAATAACAAAAATACTTTTAAAACTGGGATATTTTAAGAGTTTTCATCAATATTAAAGTTAGCAGTTGTCCCTTGTGGGCCAATTTCTGAGATGTAAAGCACGCTTGAAAATCTGTCAGGAAGATGGCATTTTTGTTAGCTTGTTACCTCAGCTTGTTGGGCAGATGACTGTATGCACTGATATTTTAACTTATTATATCAGCCTGTGGAGTAGACAGCTGTATATACTGATATTTTAGCCACTTTTTTCCAGACTCACCGGAGATGCTATTTGCCTGAAGCCGAATTTGTCCTTTCCTTTTTAGGTTTTGACATGTACATTTTGAGATAGCACAGTTTTACATTTTAGCTGAGTCTCTTAGCTCAGAAAGAGGGATTTTCCTACAAGATAAGCTTGAGGGCTTCTTTTAAAATATTTTTTTCTGTATGTTTAAGGTTTTTGCTTTCCTTATCCTTTCATTATTTATTTTCCAAAAAATGCAACTGAAAGAGCAGATGTCTGTCTGTCATTTTTGATGGGCAATTCTGCTAGGTAACCTAGCTAACTTACTGAAAAAAGGTACAGCTTACAAGAACTTATTATTATTATTATATTATTATATACACGTGCTTTAGGTGTCCCTGCGTATGCAGGGGGGTTGGACTAGATGATCTCTAGAGGTCCCTTCCAACCCTAAGCATTCTATGATTCTATGATGATTATTATTATTATTACATGTTATGAAGTTGTTTTCTTTAGATAAACTTGTGGAACAGTGGAACCTTCCTGCAAAAATGTGGCGGTGTGCACACAATAAAATAAAATAAAATAAAAGCAAATAAAAACATTGGAAGGAGAAATCCCTGACTGGTGTCTCGACAGAGGAGAAGCAGCGCCGGCGCTGAGCGCGGGAGTGCTTCTGGGCTCCTTCCTCCCGCCGTGGCCCTCCTGTCGCAGCGACTGTTGGCCTGGCTGAGGAACAGCAGTTCAGATTCCTGGCAAGGGTCCCTGGAGAACAACTCCCTGGCGCTTACTTGTGTATCCTCCACCAGGCAAAGATAGACCCAGGGCTTTTCAAACCTGCCTATATCATCACAATTTCCTTCCCTACTATGGAGATGAAAAAGACTTCATCTCTTTAGTCTCATACACATTGCAAGTTATTCGTTTTTATTTTTTTCTTATTTTGGAATGAATTAACCTCTTTATTCTAAGACTTACTAGGAGAGAAGTTTAGAAGCACTTTATTCCTTTGCGTTTCAAGGCAGTCTTAACAGTTTTGCTTTACAAGATGATAATGCATTTTCTGAAATTTGTGATACGGGTTCTACATCATTATTGCTCCCTTCAACTCCCAGTGCTATTGGAGAAACATATAAGGAAATTCATGTATGGATACTAAAGGTTCCATGGCTTGGTGCTAGATACAACCCAAAAAGCACTTTGATTTTTTCCACTGATGATGTTTTACAGGTTTACCCCATCTCCTACCTAAGAATCTCCATGAGTCCTATTCTGCACACACAAAACAAGGAGGCCCTGTTGGCTCTTCCGCTGGGTGTGACACTGACCTTTACAGTCCATTTTCATGACAACTCCGGAGACACCTTTCACTCACATAACTCTGTGCTCAACTTCGCAACAAACAGGTGGGTATCTACCACAGGCATTCATGACAGAAGCAACACAAAAGGAGATAGCAGTGGAAGATAAAAAGCCTGGACTGGGATTAATAAACAGAGTGTTTTAAATCTGAAGTCTTCAGAGGCACTGTGGCAGAAAGGAGAGTTCCGGTTAGCAGCTGATGTGCTCCAGCAAAAGGAAAATACGTCTAGATAAGCATGATCATCCTTAGTGGGGTCTGCTGGAGTACCTTCTGGCTTTAAATAGTTCTGAAACATCAGCTTGTGCATATCAGTGGCCAGTGTAAACAACTGGGACAAAATCATTTTCTTCATTTCTCCCAGTACTTTGTTACACTGACCTACTTAACCAGCCTTATGTAAGACGGTGAACTTTCTGGATCAGGGACTGCCTTCAGATGCTCATACAGCCTTTGCACAACAGAGCCAGGCCTCACAAGGCTTTTTGGGCCTTACCTCAAGGAATAATCAATATTATAAAACAATCCTCTACAGTCATTTGTAAGCATTCATTAACTGTACTTATTAGTAGTGTCTGTTTTCTACAGAGCACCTGGTAGTTATACATCAGTGGTCATGATTACACCCAACCTCTTTCCTTTCCTTTAATGTTTTCTATCTTTCTTCTGCCTAAATGATTGCCAGGCATCTCTATGGCACACACCACAGTTCCTTGAGAGAACTCTGACCTGTGGTCACAGCCAGGCACAGCAGAGCTGCATCAGCACGTGCAGATCGATAGCCCCAGGGAGAAGCAAAGCTCCTTCGTCCCCCGTGCGGCGCTGCAGGGATCCGGCTCTGGTGCTGTCAACACCCTGACTAGGGTCTTTGTGTGGAAGTGCCTTGGCAGCCCCAGTGCTGGCTGTGCTCCGCTGCTCTGTGCATGAGCGTCTCAGCATGCTCCATTTCTGAATGTGCCATTACCTGTGACTTAGTGTTGTGAAGTTTTGGCTGAAAAAATGCATACTGGTGTCTTAGTTTCTTTGCTTTCTAATTCCACAAGAAAAAGAGAAAGAAGAGACCTAACCTCATTTTAAATTTCTAAAATAATTAAAATTAGGAAATAGGTCTAATGCACAATTTTGAACTCTGTGTTTCCTCAGCATAACCTTGTGAGAAATGAAATCAGCCTCAATGACAGCTAAATCACTTTTATATTTTCTTCATTTCTGTCAGTTGTTATTAGAAGATAACCATCACTAAAACCCAGGAATCAAATGAATCTAAAACCAGAGTTTGTACCTACTGTATACAGTAGAGGGTAGGACATTAGAAATCTGGCATAATAAAAAAGTCTTTCTTTTCATCTGTAGAGATGACTTTGTACAGATTGGGAAAGGAGCCACAAACAACACGTTCGTAATCCGAACTGTAAACGTGGGCTTGACCTTGCTGAAGGTTTGGGATGCCGAGCAAAGCGGAATTGCAGACTACGTCCCGCTGCCCGTGCAACACGCCATCTTCCCGGAGCTCGCGGACGTGGTGGTGGGCGACGTCCTGTGTTTGAGCACTTCACTTACAAATCACGAAGGTAAGAGGCATTTCAGTGCCTGTGTTTATGCAGCTGTATAAATTCCCTTCAGTGCTGACTCTCTCATTCTCAGGAAAACCAAATGCATAATTTATGATGTTTGTTCAGAATCAAATGTCACTGTTCTTGTTAATGATAAAAATAGTTTTGATCAACTCCTCTAATTTTAATTGTACCTGCATTATGTTGCTTATATTGAATCCATGAGTGTCAGACTTCAGATATTCCCATTCTGTTGGTTTGAAAGGCTTGTTTTTATGGGAATAATGCAATGAGACAGTCAGGAAGGCCTAGCTCTTAATGCTTAGCATTATTTTATTTATTTAGCGTAAAACTGCAGGTGAATTTGAGGTCGGACCAGCCAAGCTTCTCTCAAGGGAGAGCTGTGGCTTTTGAAGTATGTTTAAATCCACACTGCCCACACGATGGGTTCAAGCACAGAGCACCAGTGTGTGAATGCAGCGCCTCAGTTGTCCTAACCCTGTTCTGCTACGTGCAAACCATGGGTGTCTTCACAGGCCTGCCAGGAGTGTGGAGCTCCTCTCAGAGCAGCCTTCTCCAAATCGACTCCAAGACCGGCGCAGCTGTGGTGAGGGATTCTGGGCTGGTCACTGTTTACTATGAGATTCCTGGCTTGCTTAAGACATACAGAGAGGTGAGGCACTGTTAAGTCCTACTAGAATAGTTAAATAACTGCTTGCTTCAGACAGACCTGCAGCAAAAAATACATTCTATATTTTTTAGTTCTAAACATTTAGAAACAGTGTTTTTTAAAGGAAAAAGAAACGTACAAGTATGTTTCTGTTTAAGCAATGGAAAGTATTTGACGTGTGTCCAAATGCGTTATGTTTATTGTTTGTATTATCTGTGTTACAGAGGATAATTTAGCTTAATAGTTTGTATTTTTAGCCTTTATTGTGTTTATATCAGACACTTAATTCCTTTTCTTGTCTGAGGTGTTTCCAGATGGTAAGCGATTTTACTAAAAGCTATTTTTGTGAATGAAATTCAGCAGGCTATGCCAACAGGATATGTTGGCAGGATATGCCAGCAGCACTTCTGAAGTGCTGTGCTGTATGCACTGTGCATCGCCTCGGATTGTTCATCTACGGTGCAGTAACACTGTTGGCACAGAAGTCACTATGTCAGTAAACATAAGCACCAGACTTCTTTAAAACCAAATCTAGATGTACAGATCTATGCCTATTAAAAAGACTGATTTATGTGTATTGGATAGAAATAATGTTTAATTAGGCTTAAATTGCTTGGAAAGATAATTTGTAAAATTGGAGAGGTGTAGGTTTTCTTATAAAGAGCAGTACAAAAGCTTGGGGTCTTCTGATCTCTTATGCATAGAAAGATCTACATCTGAATCAATACAATCTGCCTTTGCCTTAATTTGTTTAAGTAGATATTCATAACAATATACTTGGTCGTTTTCTCTCCTCTCCAAGATCCTGATTAATGTACCTCAGAGTACTACAGCAATGCATGTAAGTGGAGTACAAACAAGCTTGCAAGGAGTTGCAGCCTCCAAAGTAATAGTTTCAGTCGGGGAAAGAAGTAAAAATTTGAAAGGTATGATGAAAATGTGTGTATGCTGATTGTTTGTTGCATGTTTCTATATTCATGCTTAGCTTTTGAGTGTGGGAGTGCTTGCTTTTAAGCTTCTGTGAAGGAAGGTGCAAGATCTCCTTTCATCTCTAGTGCCTATCCAGAGCCCTAGCAAGTCTAGGAAGAATCAGGGGCCATACTACAGAATTTGGGGAGTGTTTGGGGGTATTATTATGATTTCACAATTAATAAAATCAGCAGATAATGGAAGTGTCTCCTTTTTTTAACATCAGAAAACAGCTACTAGCCAATCAACTGATCAATTATGTGATTCTAATTGCCTTCTTGTTGATGTTTTTTCACTAAATGTATTTAAACTAGTTATCATCCTTAAACCTTTCACACACAAAAAAAAACAGTTGGAATCATTTAATATAAAGATAAGAGGTCATAATTTGTCCCTTAATAAATAAACAAATCACAGTGCCTTTTAGTTATCAGCTTAATGTTTATTATTTATGGTATAATAGAGTATACCATAAATAGTATAGTATGCATACTATAATATAGTATACCACAGTGTTCTTTTTACTGGGGAGCTTCATAAGTCATTTCTTTTTTCTTTCTTTCTTTCCTTCTTTTTTTTTCCTGCCTTCCCCATAGGGGAGTGCTTGGCTGCTCAAATTGAAGCCATTGCTGAATTACAACCAGAGTCCATTATCAGTTGCCACCTAAATTTTGACAGTGATGCCTTTGATTTCCCAGCACGTGATATTTTCTTAGCAGAACCTGGATTTGATGCAATTTCAGGTAAGGTTTCAGCACGGAAAGCAGACTTCTTGAATTCTGCTGTGGTTTAGCCCAAATGCCTTTTGACCACTCAAAGGTTTCAGCAGAAAATCTGACAGTCTTGGCTGTGCAAGTTCTCCAACTTTAGTGAATTACGAATGTGATTTCTTCTGTTTTAACTTAAACTTTCTCCATTTGGCAAAAAGATATTTTTTGGTTGTTTTTAATGAAATCCTGAAGTTGGTAGCAGCCCATTTCCACATCTTCATGACTTTCAACTATGATTTTGAAAGGCTATATCGTATACAATGCTGTGGAAGCATTATTTTAGTGGGGGGAAAACCCCAAGCTTAGATAAAGTTTTCAATTAGTGAATCCAAAATTAGATCTTAGTTTTGCAATCTGCTTCTTATATATTTGTAGGCTGGCAACCTGGAGACAGAAGTGGTGGTGCAGAACATTTGCTCCAGCCAGGCTCTGCAGAAATCTATTGCCTTGTAATGGCTTAGCTTAGGAGGGAATGTTAGCCCTGTATCTGCTGACCTGTGGAGCAAAACCCATCCTACTGCAGCTGCTGCACACAAGCACTCAGGAGACAAATATTCCAGCCTTTGCTGCAGTCGATGGCCATTAGCTCTTAGGTGTTTTCTTGCCTGACTTTAATGCCTTTCCCATATACAGAAATGCAGTAGAGCTTAAGACTAGGGATCAGAGAGGCAATCATGAGCTTTTAATTTCTGGGTACCAAAGATAAACCTCACCAAATTATCCTCTTGAGTTAAATACCCTTTTGTGCTTAATGTTGGCCTTTTGATAGCTCTGCTTCTAGTTGTTATTCCAGTATAACTAACCTCAGTGATTAAAATGAAGTAAATGGGTTAGATGTGAAAATCTTGAGAATATAATATATTTTGATTTCTTTATATTTGCATTCTGGAATTTAAACACTTCTGGAATTTATCATGCTGTCAACTTTTGCCCTACAACCTGAGTGCTACACTTTTTTACAAATGCTAGAATTCTTATATACTCTCTAAACATTAATAACTGGGGCGTAAAAGGAGGGGAAAAATACCAAATAGTTTGGGAATTGAAATAAAATTGTGAAAGTTGTCTACAATGTACCATTCTTTCATAACCATAACATTATTTTTAAAAGAACAAAACCACCACAGTTGGTATCAAAAGACAAGATTTAATTATCTTTTAGGTTAGTATGTGTAGCCTTTGTGTAATATACTGTTATACTTTGCATAGTAGTGACTGCCTGTATTGCTCAGAAAAGGAAAGAAAATACAAGGAAACATTTATCTTGCAAATTTTGCTTCTTACTTATGTTTTATATCTTTCATACTGTGGGAATCTTTTATTATATTTATCACTAATAATAGACAAATACATCTCATAAATTGGAAACATGGTGAATATCTAACCTTGAATGAGGTTGTGATAAATAGTTACTTAGGTCTCCACAGAATTATGTTCACTGAACACTAGAATTCTAATATTAGATGAAGATAATGTGATATATGATGCTAGATTTATTTTTCAGCAAACCTTTATATAAATATTTGCATGTACAATATATTCAAAGTGAATTTGAGTCTTGCTGGCATATTAAAATGAAATCTCACAGGGACTGAAGCCTGACTTTTTCATTTTTTTTATCATGAGATTCAGTCTGGAGCAAAATATCTTCTTTACTCCTGGGATTATGATGCCTGGATAAGTAGACAGACTGTCCCGTTCAAACACCCACTCCTGATGTTGTTGAATTCACCTTTCTTCTTTAGTTGGTCTCTAAAGGTCCCATACAGATCTCTCACCACATGGAGAGAAAAGCATCAAGATAAGCAATTAGCGCTGAAACTGCTTTTGCTTTTCTAGGACATTACACCTGTTCCATCACTATGCACAGGCTGACTGACAGGCAGCTGAAGCATCTCAGCACGAGGAAGACTGTGCTCAGAGTTGCAGCTTCAGTCCAAGGCAGCCGTTTCTCCGGAGAGCAGATCAGTGCCGAGGTGCCGTTCAATCCGGGGTTTTATGCTGACCAAACAGAAATGCTATTAAGTAACCATTACACAAGCTCTGATGTGAAAATATTTGGTGCCACGGAAATTCTCGATACCCTAGAGGTGAGTGTGCTACGGAAATGTATCAAAACACAACTGGGAGTATTCTGAACCCCTGCATGCGATTTTCTAACCAAAGGAACTTCTTGCTACCATTAGCAGCTCAGGATTGCTCCCAAGATGATTCCGAGATACTCATTCCAGTTGTTTTGCTCCTTAGTTTTCACTCTTGTGTCAGGGTAGTAGTAATCAGGCTCTATCTGCAGCAGCAGATGGACCTCTGAGTGTAGGACCTGGGACGAGGATGAGGCTGCCCGTTCCCTATGGCCAAGGGCACTTGCCCACAGGGTTTGCAAAGCCCAGCAAGGGGTGCTTGGATTCTGCCTGTGTTAGGGGTTTCCCACGTCCACAGAAATACTGTTATTAAGGGTCATTAGCAATTATTAGGGGTTATTAACAGTAAATGGAGGTGAAGGGCTGGCAGTGTCAGTGTGAAGTTTCAATCCAAGCCAGTTTCTGCTGAGGGATGAGTTGCCCTATATTTCTGTGTAATAACATATTTCTGAAGTATGAGCTGGAGATGAACATATACTGTGTTTATTTATTTATTTATTCATTCATCCATTTGTTTATTTCAAGCATTCTGTTGTGGGTTGTTCTTTCCTTGGCAGGTGAAATGTGAGTCACCAATGGTAAAGGCATTTAAGAAGGAGAAATCCTATGGACTACCTAGTTACGTGGTCTACACTGTTAGTCTGTCCGATCTCAGAGTGTCAAGCCAGGGATCTTTATCAACCGCTCTAACCATCTCTAGTCCAATGACTGACCAATCTATCACTATCCCAGTGACAGTGATTTACTTGACTGACAGAAGCAGTGCACAAGTGAGACGTAAGTTTATCTCTAGACCTTGGATGCCAAAATAAACTTTAAATTTCTGTTAATGTTCATGTGGTCATAAAATTTGGTGCATTTAAATCTGAGCTGGCAACTAATGTTGTCATTGACATTTAAGCTGCTCACGGTGACTAGGAGACTTGAATGCAATTGCTCATTATGACTAAAGCTGAACATATTTCCCTGTTGGGTCAGTCCAAATGCTCTGCTAAAGCATGACTATCCCGGTGCTGAAGTATCCTGTAATAGTTTTTTGTTTGTTTGTTTTTTTGTTTTGTTTTTTTGCTTGTTTTCATTTGCTCTCAAAGTTACCCGTTTATTTTGAAAAGCGATTAGCAGATCAAGGCTGAGAACATAAAGAAAACTATATCAATGCCTTGAGTTACTGTAGGCAAATTTTGAAGACTGCATTGGAAATAGTTATTGAAATCTAAGTAATTACTGAAATTGATTAAATGTATTTAGCATAAATAAAATCTTGACCTAAGATAGGCAAAAGCAGGGAAAGAACTACTAAAACTTGAGTGGAGAGAGAAGATGCTCTTTTATCACAATGTGCTCTGTTCTTAATTGGTTCTACAGATGGATCCAGTTTATTCCAGCATTTTCCCGATTCCTATCAAGTAATGTTCTTCACGCTTTTTGCAGTATTAGGAGGGACAGCTCTTATGATCATAGGTAAGAGAATGAAAGATTGCAGTAATGTATTTTTTTTTCTTGTAACTTCTTTACCATGTTAGCTGTGAGAAATAAAGGAGCAATTCCTTGCTTAATGGCTGGAGTTTTGTTTTTTTTGTTTTTTTTTTTTTGTCTTGCAGCTTATCATGCAGCTTTCTCAACAAAAGAAGAACAAACTTACCCAGCATTTACCCCAAGGACAACTCCTCAACCCAGCCATAACAGTAAGCAGCTGTTACACAGTTATAAATGAAATTAATTGGATAGTCTAGATACTGAATTCGAATTAAAAGTCGGGAGGTATCACAACAGAAAGCCTATATACTGAATTAAATCACAGCAAGCACTGCACCAGTTTCTAGAAAATGCTAGCCTGGGTTCCTAGGTGATGAGGCCTAGGCCATGATTCACTTATTTTCCTGTCTATCTTCTACTGACTCCTCAATCACTAATATTTTTGTACAGTATTGGCCATTTTCATATACACTGGAAATAACTAGTGTAGAAGAAGTGTGTGAATTTACAAAAATCAGCAGATGAGGACAGAAGAATTATCCACGATTGTCCTCCTACTGAAAGAAAGCAAAGCAGAGCTTAGTGCTAATAACATGTGCTTGGGTGTGAGGTTCATGGCCACGGGTCCAGCACGTGCAGCTGCTCTTGCAGTGCGGTGCACCGTGACGTGGTGGGAACTGGGGCTCCTGCAAGTGGCTATGGAAGTGGAATTGTGTGGCAGTGAAGGACATGAGCCTACAGAAGACATGGTTGTGTTGCCCAGGGAACAGTTTGTTCTTTGACTAATTTTTGATTTTGGAGCCATGTTTCATCTCTATTATTTGGCATTGTAATTACTTCCAGTTTTACGTGCTCGCAAGGGAGCAACGTAAGTCCTTCTGAAAGGAGTTTGCAAAAAATAACTGTTTACTGCAAGACTCTGTGATCACATTGCAGTCATTATTAAAATACTATTCCTGTTATTGCAGATATACATTTAAAATATTGGTAAGCTGATATCTTGTTCATGGAAATATGTGCGTGACATTTCAGGTGATTTAAAGCAAATCTGAGTTGGAAGCTATTTGCTGAAATGCAATATAATTTAGCCCAATCAGAAGATTGAATCAATTCTTTAACTAATAGAAAAACTGTTCATACTTAGAATCTGTTGGGAAAAAAAAATCCTGTAAGGTAGAGGGGTTATTTTGCTTTGATTGGCCCACTAGACTTGCTTGCTAGGTATTCCAGCAGATGATTAGCAGCAGTTACCTGTTTCTTACTCCCGCCACCGTTTCTGAGTGTGACAGCTTGTCTCCTTCTCTGCTGTGTTTCAGGTTCCCCTGTATCGCCCTCATTTACCTTCAGTCCCCTGTGCTCCAGCAGGAGGACAAGCCCTTCATCCCCGCTCTGGAGCACTGATTTTTTTTCGCGCTAGAGGCAGGAGAACTCATCTGTTTGCATGAGGGCTTCAGAATAAAAAAATGGTGCCTTTACCACTAGCAAATTTAAGAACTTTCTCAGTTTTGGTACTTTTAAATACTTCAGGCTCTTGGAATCTTTTTATGCCAATGCTTTAGTTCTTTCTTTAAAATTTATCTGCTGTTTTATGCTCAGTTGACAAGGATGACTGGACAAAAGCAATGTTTGTGCTAAGCTAGCTTTCTTGCAGTCTTCAAGCAATTAGAAGTTATGTCTATAGGAAAGTGATACAAGAATTTTATTTACTTTATGTGAAAATTAACTTTCTTTTTAATAAATTTTTTAAAAAGGGAAATAGAAAATCAGGTCAAACATGAGCCAAAAATATGAAGGGTTGTATATTTCAAAGGATTATAGTTTTATTTTGAGTTCCAAAGACTCAGGAATTTACTGCACTGATAAGTGTTATGATGTTTAGCCTTACAATGTGATACATCATTATAATTTTTCTTTTTTTTTTTTTTTTTTTTAAACATTAAGAATGCTGGAACAACTGTGAATTGTGTAGATTTTGAGTTTGCTACAAAAACAAAGCAATCCGAAAAGTGTGACTTTCTTTGGGTACAATTGCAGTATTCTTTTCTTGTTACTATAAGCACTTTTGGAGGACTGAAAATGTGAAAGCATGTGCCTTCTAAGCGGACCTTTAATTTGTTAGTACATATTTTTAATTGAAGGCAGTTGTTTTATCTGTGTTCTCATATAATACATTTTTATAAGTCATTTTATGTATGGAAGTACCTCAATGGAAACTGAGCCTCCATTTATTACCACTAGCCACCTGGTGCACTGGAAAATAAGTAGCTTGGTAACGGTAATTTCTCAATTACCATTAGTGATGATCTCCGTTGGTTCAGTCCGTTTGTCTCTAGCACATATATATGTTACATACTGATACAGCCACATCCACAGTCTTGACTTCAGCTATACAGTAAGATATTACTGATATGACCAGATAGGGAATACTTGTAGTGTAGTATTCTAACAACTGCTGACTTTTATGCCTGTAAAATAAAATATAGTATTTCACTGCACAAGTATTACTGATTACTGCATTCTTGTGTTTGTATTTTTTCTTACTGACAAGGACACACAGGTAAAAAATGCACAATTCAGGGTGCACCAGAATGTGCTCTACTAAGTCAGAAAAATGATCACTGTGTATGTTCGGATGTGTTTTGCTTTGTGAAAAAGAAGATGGCAGTGAGGTATGCTGGCCTAAACTTTTTTCCACATTAATTTTTGAATACACAAGAAAGACTAACTGGCGCCAATCCTTATGCCTAAAATATTTCCTTGACGTTAAGAAATTGGGATGCCTGATGGATAGAATCCTTCATTATTTTACAAAGCTTATAATCATAGTTGTTTTAAATCTGAAAGCAGTATTTTGCAGATATCAGGTAGGGGATTTGTTTATACATGTCACAGATGCAATTGTGAATATTATTCAGGAGGCCCAAGAGCTCACTTTCATAGTCTGGTATAGTCTAATGACCATAATAAAAGTAATTGCAATTGTTCAATTTCAAAGAACAAAACATCTTATACAAAATATATTTATTATGCAGAATTATGCAGGCAAACAGTCAAAGGAATGGAATGTATTCACAGTATATAGCCTATAATTTTAGTTTCATGCAGTATTACAGAAGAGCAGCGTCTTTACATATTGAGTCCTGTGTAACTTCTTTGCTAGTTTTTGAGAAAATGTGCCTTACATGCTAGTACTACTTAAAATTTGGATGTAAATAATAAGCATTTGTATCTGTATTATTTAATAAAGCTTTGTAAGATTCCTTAATCTACTGTCTCTGAATGTTCTTGACCTGTTTAGAATTTATCATTAACTGCATTGTGTGTACGTCACCTTCTACAATTCATGCTCACTCATATGACTAAACCTTGATTTTTTTTTCCCCCCTCTCCCCCTGCCATAGTGTGCCATTTTATGTCATAATCTGTAGTTTTGACTATGGTTCCTGTTGGCTGAGTTTTAAGATACATTTCCTATCACCACCACACCCAGTCCTGGAGCAAAAGAATCCCAAGTAAACAAGTAAAAGGAGTTAATAACTAAAACCAGGTAAGATGGTAAGATCAGGACTTTTTCAGTTAGTTTGGAGTCCCTAGTGGAAATGCTGTTTTTGCATTGTTACGGTTGTTAATATGTTAATTGGTTAATGAACAAAATTGTGGTGTTGGTAATGCATTCTATATTGTGTCTGTTAAATTGCTTTCTACATCACATAGCTGTGAAATGGATTCAGCGAAGCATTCGAATAAGCTGAGCATCCTCTTCGATTTTTTTATGCATTGTTGTCTCTTAACCTTATTTCTTGCTAAAAAATAGTACATTAGATTATAAATTGTCCATTTTATGTATGTATTTGTTTTTATACATTGACGCCTTCTCTCCTTCCTAGGAAGTGTCTGAAAATGGTATGTGAAATAGAGGCTTCCAGGGCACAGCCACTAGGCCCTGTCCTTACAGCTTCTCAGTATTAACCATCGTTACTTCTTGCCTTTTCACTGTTGTTAGTAATTTGATTTTCAAATGAATTGTCAACTTTTTATCCAGTATTTGCTGTTAGGTTTTCGCGCTTTTCTCTGAGCATCTTCAAGGTCCACTGAAGTCAGTGGTGCATGAAGAGACAGCTTTGTCCCAGGTTTGTCCAAACTTCCCATTTCTTTCATTTAGATTTTTTAAAAAACCTCTTGTCTGTCTCTGTCTCTCCCTGGAAATGAAAGGGCTGTGAATATCTCAGTGCGATTGTGCTAAGCGTTTCAGAAAGAGGTTTTACTTTCCTCCTCTTCCTCCTGCTCAGCCCCAGCCTGGCAGCAGGCCTCCTTTAGGAGGACCGGTGCCAAGGGGGGGCAATGCCGCCGTGCGCGTTGCCTGTGCAAGCGTGTGCTGGCAGTCTCAGGCACGCATCTTTAGGAACTGCCCTTTGCCACCATGTGCTCGAGCTGGAAGCCTGTCAGAAGCACATCTAAGTGTAGGTGGTGGACCTGCGGCTCACTCCGGCAGTAAAGAGCAAGGGATTTGAGCTGAGAATCTCTAGGTGCTGTCAGACAATCGCCATGCTGTGGGTTATGTGGGAATTTAGGTGTTTGAGTATGTTGCTGCCAGTGTAAAGCTCAACTGTTAAGAAAAAAAACCCTAAGGGTTTGACCAGAAGGATGTCTGGACTCTGTATCTAGTGCTGGGCTGTCCTCTGCCTGATTAGCGCTGCACTCAGGACACCTCTGCTGTGGTTCTGCACAAGCAGCAGCCTGGGAATGTGTGTCTTTGGGTGGATTTATCTTTTCAGCAGTAAATAAAGTATCTGTGCTGCTCTGAAATTCAGATCTTGGTCCCTTCCCCTT